TTTTGTCCATAACTTTTTATTGAGAGGTCTAATCGAAAACGTACGAATTGTTTTGGATTCTACGCACCAAAATTAATAAGAAAAAGTGTTTTCCCGAGAAATTTTGGTGCAGTCGATTTTTGGTAAAAAAGGAAGGTTATACACTGCCTTTTTTTATGCCCCGAAAAAAAAAATTGTCTCAGATGGACCCGGAAAAAAAATTTCCTTATAGAATGTGGCCTGTAGAATCCATCATTTCAAACAGTTCCAAGATTGGGCTACTAGTTCAAAAGTTACAGCCCTTTGAATTTTTTTTCGAAATTTGTTTTTTGTCCATAACTTTTGATTGAGAGGTTTAATCGAAAACGTACTAATTGTTTTGGATTTTATGCACCAAAATTAATAAGGAAAGGTATTTTCCCGAGAAATTTTGGTGCAGTCGATTTTTGGTAAAAAAGGAAGGTTTATACCTGCCTTTTTTTTGAGCCCCGAAAAAAAATTGTCTCAGATCGACCCGGAAAAAAATTTTTCTTATAGAATGTGACCTGTAGAATCCATAATTTCAAACAGTTCCAAGATTGGGCTACTAGTTCAAAAGTTACAGCCCTTTGAATTTTCTTTCGAAATTGGTTTCTAGTCTATAACTTTTGATTGAAAAGTCTGATCGAAAAAGTACGAATTGTTTTGGATTCTACGCACCAAAATTAATAAGAAAAAGTGTTTTCCCGAGAAATTTTGGTGCAGTCGATTATATGAAAAAAATGGAAAGCTAATACGATGGTTTGGCGTAAAAAAATTTTTGTACAAAAAAACTAATACATTTTTGCTCTAAAATAATTTGGGGAGTCAATAATCGCATGTTATGAATTTTACATTGAAATCCCAATGATGCTTTACGCAAGTCACAACCCTGTACATCATTGACAACAGATGTCAAGCATTTCTAAAATATGAGTTAGAATTTTGGTATGTGTAGATCAATCAAAAGAAGAAGTTTAGGTTAATTTATTTTTCAATATATTCAACCATTTAATAAAATGTTGAGTTTTGATCATCAACCAGATCTAGTGGTTACGCACCAAGAGATGAGATTTTGATTGGGCCAGGTTTCCTGGCCCACATTTTGATACAATTTAAAGTAATCATTTCAAATGTTTGTAACTAGCCTTTACAAATGACACATGTAAAGTTCAGCCAACAATAATTGCGTACGTAGTCCAACCAAAGCGCCAAGTGGGGAATTGCATGTGCCCGCCCATTCCATCAGAAATGTGCTGCTGTTCTATGCATGTAATGTCAGCACAAATTATGTACTTCATTGCCCATTAAATCGCATCATGAACGTTTGTAATTGTCAACCTCACATATTGAATTTTTACCACTATCGCTCATTCAATTCATTGAAGTTTAGTCAACAGATTGGCAAATCTATATCAAATCCATTGCTACAGGTATTGTCATCGAGAATGATGCACCAATTGGGATCTAGTGATAAAACGATCTTCCAGGCAGTTAATCATTCTCTGAGTGCATTCAAAGATTCAATATATCCTAAGGGTGTAGTTCGCAAACTATCGAAAACGAACAGTTTACGTGTGAAATTAAATTAAAAACATTCAAATAAAAAGTGTAACCCCGAGGAGATATAAATTAATTAAGTCGACATAAGTTGGTAAGATTAGGTCTCGTTAGGCGAACGTAATTGTAAATTGATTAAATTTCAAAACATAATAAGAAAGCTGGGCTAATAAGTAAATTAAATTGCGACTTATGCATTTTATTCCATTACAGATAACTTTGGCTGTAGTCGAGAAAACTCATCAGAAAGTATTAGGGTTAAATTGAAAATATGAACTCAAGATTCATTTTTAATAAAAGTTCTGTCTATATAATAACACTTCGTACCTTTCTTTTTCTTTTGCTGACAAATGGGACGTGGAGTTTCATTTTGACACACTTTAATATTCTTCATTTTAAACTTTATTACAGTAACTGTCACTGATGTATTCCGCACAAGTGATTGATCGTTATTGAAGTAGACTAAAAGTTCTATTTGTTCCCGAAAAAAAACTTTTCGCAATTGTGAGCGGATGCGAGCTTTATATTTACCTCATTTTAGTCATGCGAGGGAGCTCGTTAATTATTGCGATGCGGTCGTGTTCCTGCTGGACGTGGACCTAACGAGTTGTATTTTGATGAAGTTTCCCTTTATTAATTACCGATACGTTCGACTTCCAAAAAAGGAAGGCGCAGCCATCTGCAGTCGAGTGTTAGTTTGCCACGAGAACATCTGCGCGACGACCTAACAAGCCAGCCAGATAATTGGAAAAGCCTCGAGAAATAAAACGATTCGACCGCGTGAAAACATCAGATCCAATAATCCGAGATTTACTTGGCACTGGAAATAATGGAATGTTAGTTCTATGAGGTTGATGATGATGATGACGTTATCTCCCGAAACTCATCCGGACGCCATTTATACACACGGAATTATAATAATAGTAGATAGTAATGTAGTAGGGTAAGGGGTGGTAACTTAAATGGACACATTAGCCCGGAATGGTTCCATTAGTGGTTTTTCAGCGGGATAATTGCAATTTGTTTTTAGTTCCTCTCGCTTTTCAGGCGGGAGAAGTGCGAATTGAGATTGCTTGAGTCGAATGTAGGTTTCCTTTTTTTCCTAATTTAATTTCAACGCCGTACTTGAACTGACATTTTTTAAATTAAAATTTCAAAATTGCCCAATCCAAAGTCACTTTCGTAATAACGGTGCTTGCAAATTATTTATTAATTTTGTGACGTAATAAAATTAAGCGAGTCCGAAGCTTTTTTAATTGACGCTGTGTTTCTGTTGCAGGTGGGTCATAGCAGCGGCTTAATTGGTAATTGGGTAAGTCGCTGTAAAGTGTAAAAGACGTTAAAATTTAGAATCATTTTGCTCTGCCTTTTTGATGTTAGTAAAACACACGCAAACGTCATCTCAATCTTCATTCAACTGCTTTATGGGTAATAAACTTTTTTTATTTATGCTCTTTAAATTGAACTTTCGAAATCGGAGCTTCTTTTTGCGTATAATGCTGGAAATCTACCCGAATTTAATAAAAATATCTCATTTGATGCTTCGTATACTTTCATGGTGATTGTCTTGAAATAAAACTTTCGTTTAGTGCCTGCTTGTTGAGCAACGAGGACAAATTCTACGCTCATTAAATTGTAGGGTGTAATTCCGAAATGAACTGATAATTTAAGGACAATAGTTATCCGAGTACCCATTTTTCGACAACTGTTTCTCTAGATTGAAATAATGCCGAAGATGAGAGCGAGCCACCTTGTAGAGTAAAAATACGTGTTGATAAGGTAATTTCGGTCGGAATTCAAGTTATTTCATAAAACCTGGGAAATTTTTATTCCAAATGGACACAGAATAAAAAATTTTGATGAATGGTCATTTTGATTTCTTCTTGTAAATTTAGAATGCATAAATAAAGAAACATTTAATGGTAATCGTAAAGTTTTTAGCTTGGCAAGTGTTATGGGACAAAAATTAATTTGTTTTGCGATAAACACTGCCACCTGTGAGATAAACAACGCAGGTGTTGATCAATTCGTAAGACGGAGCGGAATTTTGGGTATCGTCGGAGAACAACGCATCTCGCTTCTCTTTAAAATAGCTGGAATTAAGTGTAAACGGCGCTGCCACGGGTTTTTGGTCGTCTGTGGCGCTATTTTGTACCGGTAGTCTATCGGGCTATGTAATTTTTTTATAGAAGAAAAACGTAGTCTTCATGTTAATTAACAAAGTAATGTGGAAACAAGTTGGATGTTATGAAGAAGTTGGTTACTCTCGGACTTTCGAGCTCAAAAAGTTTGTTAAAAAATGTTTGCTTTCGAGCCAGTTTGGCGTATTACGAGTGAGTTTTTTTTTTAGAAGATTGTGACAGATTTGTGTGGAAGTGAGCGTTTTCCCGATCATCGCATATTTTTGTCCTGGCCAGTTTATTTGGATCATTATTAACAGAACTGCGAGTACTTTTCGAGATCTCTGAAATTGTTTTTCGATCGACCGTTTTCTAAACGGAGGGTTTTGTTTTCAAAAGACACGGGCGTAATTTTTTGAAGTTTATTTCTGGTTCCTTATCAGGGAGTGAGTTGAAGGAAGGGATGGGTAATTTGTTTTGTTTATTTTAGTAAATTTAGATTTGTGGGGTGGTTCGCAGTTTCCATTTTTAAGTTAGAAATCACCTTTCTATTTGGGGTATTTAAATTATATACGGTGTTCCTCTTATAATGGGTTCCGGAACTATGGCCACAGAATGTGTGATTTGATTTATGTGCTCCAATTGACAAAGAAAATTATCTGGGTCGCACAACCGATTCGAATAAACACACAATTAATTCATTGACAATGACAAAAATTTATTCTGAAACACATGAAACAATTAAAACAAAATCCTTGAAAGGATGAAAAGCGTTCAACGTTTGTTTGGATATACCCCGCACACAATCGGTCGATATTTAAAAA